TCTCTAAATTTTATTGAAAGACACAGTTTCGGTGTCAAAAACCTTATATTGGTTTGAAAACTCACGTTCAATCGCCGATTACAAAATTCAAAATTTTGAAAATGATACAAATTGAGCATATCTATAAATACTTGAAAACCTTAAAAATAAGCGGTTCAGATAACTTATTATAAGATCAACTATTTTTAAGATTCAAAATTCTTTTCTTTTTTTTTTATCCACGTATCTCGAGATCAAGATGATCAATCGGTGAAACTCGAAACACACTTTTCTATTAGATTTTGAGAAAACCAACTTTTTCCTCAGTAGTTTAAGTGAGCAACCTTCTTTCTTTGAGCTGTCAAACCTCAACTGGGAAACTTTGACTATCCATCATAGGCTTGTGGTGGTGGGAGATAAAGCAAGACTTAGTCAAATATGTGACTTTACTTAGCAAAATGTTCCACAATTCACAATTTTAAGGCAATTTGAGAGTGGGGACTGGGGACCAAGGAATTAAAAAAAGAAAACAAGAGATAGAGAGTCAACACCCCAGCATCATTTGGTTTGCTGGTGGATGCTGTCCACATTATAAGTATGGAAAACTTATATACCATCACCATCTAAAATGTGGACACAAGATAAATGAGAAAAAAAACATAAAGGGTGCGTTTTACAGAAGGGGATGACCTTAAACAATCAAAGTCGGGTGTACCCCTAGACCTTGTTGAAGATTTTGTTGTGGTATATGGGATGGCTTGAAAATCTGTTTTCACCCCCTAATGAAATTTAAACTTTTAAAAGCGGTGCAAATTGGGCAAAACTATAAATATTTGAAAATATTGAAAATAGACGATCAAGATAGCGTGTTATATAAGATGCACTGTTTTTTAAACTTAAATTTTTTTTTATTTTTTTTATTTTTTATATTGTTTTTTCGATGTTGGAACTAGTGTTGTCGAATTCATTATGCTTCGGCAGAAGGGGCCGAAACCTTCAGATTTTATGCCTAGACCGAAACAAAGGGAAGCCTGGTGTTTTCGCTTTGGTTAGCTTCAGGCCGCTTCGGGTTGATTGGGCTAAAGCTTCAGCCTCTTTGGCCGAACCAAAGAAATATCCATATAAAAATATTTTTTCTCTATTTTTATTGTTCCATTATTTTAGTATATGTTTATATATAAATATGTAAATTATTTATTAAATTAAAAAAATGTATCAAGTATTACCCTAAATTAGCCGAAGTATCAAATTGCTTTGTTTTTCTTACCAAACCGAAAAAAGCTTCAAAGTGAATCTAACAACTACCCTTTTCAAAGGATTTTTTAGGTGAACATCACTTTTATAGTTTAAAGTTTTAAAGTTAGAAAAAAAAAAAAAAAACATATATTCATTATATTTACCGTTATTACAGGATTATCAAGGTATTATATCTATACCCAATTCTCATGATCTTAAAAAAAATTTAAAAAAAAGATAGAAATACCTACCTTAGGTTTTACAATTCGATTTTACAATAACCGAATTTACGTTCCATTCGTTAAACCTCATTCATGTTCCTATCCATGGCCATAGATTGCAGCAATGGTGGGTAACCCTAGTTTCATCATTTTACACATTAGACTGAATGGTTTTGAGGCTAGATGATAGGTTTTCCTCAATCCATTTGAGTTTTGCTCAATCCATTTGAGATCGAGGCCACTAGAGAACTACTTGCCTTCTTTTGTGGTGATTAGAGCTTTCGGACCAGTAGCCGCGTGAACAAAGTCCAGAGCTTTTGTTATGTCTTCAATGAGATGGATTGAATTCATGTTCGTCGTCGCCTGTTAGAGTTAGTACAAACTACAAAGACATTGCCCATCTTCTCGACTTCGCAGGCCCTTAGTTGCAGGAGAGTTCCTTTCCCTTGATATAAGAGAATGGGTTCTTTGTAATGTAATAATGGACTTTAGGGTTTATCCGGAGAAAATAAATATAAAACCTCCAAATTTATAGAATTTCTCTGTGATTCATTGGGAGAAGCCAACAGGAACAATCTTTCCGGATTATCTCAAGAGAAACCTGAGAAGTTTAGGGTTCTGTGTAAATTTAGGTTTCTCGGCAAAATCAGTAGTTTCTCGGCAAAATCAGTATAAAAACGTACTTCTAGGGTTTCTCCTCTCTCTTATAGATCCACTCTTTAGGGAAGCAGGGGAAATGGCGTTAACGATGGGAACAAAAATTCAATTTCGGTTTTTCAGGTTTTCAAAAACCAAAAATTGGTTTTTTTTTTTAAAAAAAAGTTGTTAAGATGTGAAAAAACGGGTATAGGTAATGAAAAATTGAGATAATCCCATAACAACTATAAATATAAAGGATATATATAGTATTTTCCCTAGAAAAAAAAACTACCAATAAGTTATCATCAAAAAATAATGGTAATTTAGGTTATGCTCCCATTGTCAGATCTTGATCAAATGGTTGAAAATGTATCTTTCTAATTAGATTTTTAATATCTTTCTACAATTTTGATGAAAATAATATTTTGGGTGTATGTACTATATATGAGGGTGCTGAAAAATATAAAATACTATTTCTCAAACCCCCAAAAGACCAAACTACCCTGAAATATTGTGGGGGTAATTCAATCATTTTAAATTTTTGAAAAAAAAAATTTATATATTTTTATATGATGTGTGATAGTGTCAATTATACTTTTTTTCAAAAGATTACTGACTTTTATCGATAATAATCAACACAAAATAATTACAATGCTAAAGAGTCTCTAATTATATATATTCAGCTCAATCTAGTTTTTCTAAAATGATTAAAATTCCAAAAATTTCAACGGTTGAGAACCCATCATAAAGTACTATTAATTTTAAGTGACAATATATTAGTATCGTTTCCCTTGAAGTTATACAAACTTTATCCAAAACATGAATAAATAAACAATACGTAAGTGTCGATAGGGTTGAGATCTTTTTTTTTTATATAAGATTATGAACTTTTATTGATTGTGTGCTAAAGAGCATAAATTACAGGCATTAGAGCATCAAAAATAGAAAAAGAGGATAATGAAACTCCAAATTTGGCTAAGCAATCTGCAAAGTCAGTAGCTTCTTGAAAAATGTGAGAGAAAGAAATACGTAGGCATAAGTCCATGATTTTCAACCACAAAGAGTGAAGAATCCAAAGAATCCGTTGTTCTAACAAACACCACTTATCACATTGAGAGAGTCCCCTTCAACAAAGATAGTTCCCTTAATGCGCTTGCTAACAATAATCTCCAAACTATGAAGGAGGGCAGCAATCTCAGCCTGATTAGCAGTGGCGGTTCCGCAACGCCTAGCAGATGAGAAAATAATGGGTCCAACATGGTCCCTAAAGAGGCCACCATGTCCAACTGGTCCAAGGTTTCCTTGATAACTCCCATCAAAATTAAGCTTAAAAGAGTTCAACAGTGGGAGAACCCAAAAGGAGACTAGCTTGTTCTACTCTAGAAACCCCCGACTTTCTTTGGTGATCGAAAATCAGTCCCAGAGAAACTGCATAATTTTGTCTTTAATATTGTGAAGATCTAGACATATACCATCAAAACTTCTTCTATTTCATTCCAACCAAATATGACAAAGAATATAACTTCTCAAGATTTTCCAAATAAGTAGTCCTTTAGGGGGTAAGTTGGGAATTTGAAGATGGTCACTAATAAAGATCAAATTTGCCAGAAGCATAAGAGGGAAATGCAACGAACTAAAGGCCCATTTCCATATGGCATCGGCAAAAGAGCAGTGTAAGAAAAGGTGACAACCAATCTCTTCTGCATTCTTACACAAAAGACAAACATTAATAAATACTTTACTCCAAATACGAAGATTGTCTAACGTAAGGCATTTATTCTGCATTGCCACGCAAAAAAAGGCTTGTATCTTCATGGGTATAGGCCATTTCCATATTTCATAGACGCCTTCAAAGGACCAATGCAGTCTATCGTGGAAAAAAGGGCTATAAGAATATTTAATTGAGAAAAGACCATTGCTTTCACTTTCCCAGATGACCACATCATTTCTATTAGGTGAGGCATATACACCTTCGAGCAAACGCATGAGTCTTTCAAGCTAGACAATCACACGATCAGGCAATCTGTTATAGACGCATTCAATATTCCAGACAAGAGCCCTAGAAGGATTGCTAGAGAATAAATCGTCAAACTTTTGTTGCAGGAGAGATCACTATAGAAAAAAGATAAAGAAAAAGAATAGAAAGAGATGTATCACCGAACCATCTATTGAACCAAAAGAACTATTGAAGCAAAAGAAACTGTCCTTCCCATTGCCCAGTAGCCACCTAATATTGCCATATACCACATTCTTACTACTGTAAATGCCCTTCTAGTGTGTGATGTAAACTTTCCACCCCATTAAATTTGACTTTTATACAATTGTAAATGCTCATTAAAAAAGTCATCACATGAATGTGAGATTTGACTTTCAGAAAAATATGTGCCAAATTTAATGGTGATCTTTTAAAATCCTACATATAAGAATGTCTCACAAGGTCATTTCCTTTTTATTAATTAAAGGTGAATAAATTTTAAGGCTATCATAAAAATTTTCAATATTAAAACCACATTCCTCAACACTATTTGAAGGAGACCGTTTTTGATTGTTTAAAACCTCGGCCTTATAAAACTGCACCCACTTTCAAAAGCACAGCGACAGATTGGAAATCACTTGGTTCTAAAACACTGTCGTCGTGCTTTCAAATGTGGTTGGAGAAATCAAAGTGGTGTGAACCATGAAAACATTGGTTTTGATTAAGTTTTTACTCTCTTTTTTTAAGATTAGTTGTTTACTTGTTTGATGATCTCTTTTTTTTTGGCTTTTCCTTTATTTTTTTGAAACGATCCTGCCAAAATTCGCATTCACTCGTGATCGTGGCACAAATACAGCCATCGAAGTTCTCACTTTAAAACATTATTGTTTTGAGAGAACATCATGAGACAAGAAAGGTTTGATGCATTTTGTTTTAAGAGTGTAAGATAATGAAATCTAAGAAGAGTTCCTCTCCAGAGTGCACCCCTTTAGAATTGGCTTATTTAGCCCATCAATTTCTTGATACATTTCATACGCAATGCTGAACAAAAACAAACCAAAAAATTTCGAAAATCGTAACGTACAAGTATCATTTTGTGAACAATCCTCCTCTTCTTTTTTTTGGGTGAGTCAGTGCGGAGAGGACCCCTACCCTTGGTAGAAATTGAGCCTAGGACGTAGCGTTACAAATCTTCAAGCGTTGACCAATTAAGCTCGGGCTCATTGGATGAGAAAGTGCGGATAGGGCCCCTACGCTTGGTAGGAATTGAGCCCAAGACGTGGTGTTGCAAATCATCAAGTGCTGACCAATTAAGCCTTGGCTCACATGGAATACAGAGCCTAAACTAGGAATTTCTATTAACCTTGGCATCACTTCCGCTGCCATCGCTCATGGGAATAGACGGTTTCCTGCCTGTGTAAAATATATAGCATACACATCATGAGTGCATAAATTTAAAATGCAGCTTCTTGACTTTTTTTATTGTTTTTGCTTATAGCCAAATCACGAGAAGTTTGCCGGGTAAAATCCGTTCTCATTTATGCTCTAAATCATATAAAATGACAAAATCGGAAGAGATTTGTTCTCGATTGAATTGCTATCCGGAAACCAACTAATCCTAAGACATCAATTCCTTTCTAGATTGTCATGCTTCTCATTTATGCTCTAAATCATATAAAATAACAAAATCGGTAGAGATTGTTCTTGGTTGACTTGCTATCCATAAACGAACTAATCCTAAGAGATCAATTCCTTTCTAGATTGTCAGGAGCACTGGATAAGCATTTGATCAAAGCAATTATTTCTAAAGTAATTTAAAGGAAATAAATCAGAAAAAAACAGATTGCTTACCAGAGGTGGGAGTATTGGCCAGAGACAACAGGAACCCAGAATCAGGGGCCCATATCAGACCGTGAGTTGCTTTACACTTTTGCCTCTCTTTCTTGAAAGAATTTCCTAAAGTTATTATTTGAAATTGGTTCGAGATTGATCTAAGATGAATTTGGTTTCTAGGCTTTGAGTATCTCGACATAAGGTTGGTCAAGGTTTTCTACGATTTTCATGGTTATGAAGGATGAAGTTGCACAGCTTGGTTTCTCGCAAAGCGCAGGTGTTTCACTCTATGGGTCTCTCTTGGGATCTCTGATCTCTCAAGGGTTTATGAACTTCTCTTGAACTCCTATGAACTGCTCACAATTGCTTTTCTAGGCCCCAAAAAGGGTCTACTTATATGTTGTTTTATGTGGTTTCACATGTTTCACTCTCAAAAAAAATTGGGCCATTGGATCGACCACGACAAAATTTGTGTTATTGATTCCTGACATGCGCGACATGATTTGCATCGCTGACGTGTCTCACATCTTTTTGCGGGCCGTGTGCATCCTATCTTCTTTTTTTTTGAGAATGTTTACTTGTATTGAGGTAAATAGAATATACAAAGGTTGCCCTCCCACAAGGAGTGCTGAAGGGCAGTAATACCCTTTACAGGGCAACAGAAATAGAGCCCATAACAGGGTAGCAGAAGTACAAAGCTATAATAGGATAAAAACACAGAATTTGATCCTAGAGCTCCAGATTTGGCTAGAGAGTCAGCGATGGAGTTGGCCTCTCCACGTATGCCTCCAAGCGATTTGCAAGAGGGAGCACCTATGTTGGATTTTGTCAAACACGGATTCTAGCCTCCAAGGGCACTCGGCTGGGGTATAAGCCCAAGAGATAACATTGGCAGAATCTCCTTCAATCACAAGAGAGTTTCCCGGGGCCCTGTTGATGTGTCGAAGGCCATGAAGGAGGGCCATTGCCTCTGCCTCGGTGGAGTCTGAGCTACAGATGGAATGCTCAAAGGAGAGGAGGGTGCGACCGGCATGGTCACGATAGATGCCACCTACACCCGAAGGTCTAGGATTGCCCAGGGAGCAACCATTGAAATTAAGCTTAATGCACCCTTGAGAGGGAGGTAACCAAGAGGCTGATCTAGGAAGTTGGGTAGGCCTTAACTGAAGCATAGCCTTCCAATTTTGGTGGAAGTCCACCACTGAGAAGCACTTGAAAGGTTTAGAGTTGGCTGCCCAAAAGATGACCAAAGATCTCACCTTTTCCATTAGTGTAACAGGATTAGAAAATTCTCCCCTAAAGATTCTCTGGTTCGTTTCCAACCACAGAGTCCAGAGTAAGGCTTCCACATAAGCTTTCCAAAGAATAATACATGATCTAGCCCAGGGTGAAAGGTAAGAAGAGAAGAGCTGTCAAACAGTCTGAGGGGTGACCCAAACCCACCCAAAAAGTTGGAGGATAGAGTTCCAGAGGAAAGACGCTATCTCACAATGTAGAAAGAGATGAGCATTGGTTTCAGCTTCTTTCTTACACATGATGCACCTGTTGGGTAGTTGTAGGCCCCTTCTTTGAAGATGGTCCACAGTTAAGGCCTCTCATGGGTGGTCACCCAAATAAAAGTCGTGATTTTAGGGGGAGCAGAGAATCCCAGGCCTTAGCAGCAACGTGGGCACGAAAGGACGGGGGGAAGGGAGGACAAGAGGAGAGCCTTATAAAAAGAGGCAACAGAAAACACTCCTGAAAGGGAAAAGGTCCAGACTACCTTATTGAAACCTAAAGAAGGGAGGAAAAAGTTGTGGAGCAGGGTCTGCAAATCAAGAAAATCAGGTAACTCGGAGTCATTAAGGGGTCTTCTGAAGGTAGGGGTCCAAACCTTTTCTCGAGGGGAGGGTTCAAAATTCTCAGCAATGATGGATAACTGGTTTCTAGCCAACCGATAAAGGGTGGGGAATGAGTCCCTGAGTGGGGTGTGGCCCAGCCAAATGTCCAACCAAAAGGCAATACAGTTACCCTCTCTAGGATGAAAGCGGATATGGGAGAGGAAGCAATGAAAGCAAGAATGGAAACCCTTCCACATACTTGAGGCATTGCAGGGGACCCTGGAGACATGGAATCGTGCATCCTATCTTAATCTGGATCTGTTTTGGAAATATTTGTATCATGACTTGTATTTGACACAGTTCTAATCTTATATGATTTTTCTTTTTTTTTCTTTTGAAACTGTTATATGATTTCTTAATGTTCTTTATCCTAAATTGATTCTGGATAATCTAATGGTTTTAAGATGCCTACTAGGTATCTCCTAAAGTCCTACAGAAACTATGGAGTATGGTTTAGGGTTTAGGGACTATAGATGAGAAAACACTTAGGTTTACTGCCATAGTATGATCCCTAATGGCTAATATATCATTAAGCAATTTTAGGTTATTTTACCTAGGGCTTTAGGAAATAATTGGCCCAGGCTTAGCGCTTAGGATTCAGGGTTCTATTACTGCTCACATTTTAGGTTTCAGGGTAAGGGACCTTAAAAAGGAATGTCTACACTCTTCTACTTTGTGGTTAAATTTTAATAGCACACAAGCTGATCCTATGCGAACTTTTTGATAGCTTAAGCAGTAAAGAGAAAATGGAAACCCCCCTCAGGTTCAAACAAGTGTTTTTGGCCCCATCTGGACCTTTAAAAAATTTGATGGACCAGTGTCATCGGTTAGGTTTATGCCTGCACTACTTTTGGTGGGTCTGGTTCCAAAACTCATCCTTTCTAGTGAGGAAACATGGCGTTCGATCTAACAAAAAGCGAAAGAATCTTCACTAGCATTCATTCAGAGTCTGTGGCATACAGACCCATCAATGAGATGAGTTAAATTACATTACTTTTCCAAAACATTAGGCTGCTACGGTTACACATAAAAATCCCAAACATCCTTCCTTTCTTTTCAAGGCTAAATATGTATATTTATATTAAACGATTGAACAAATCAAAACAAGAAAAGTAGAGATGGCAAACCTTAATTTACCATCACCATGTCTTCACCCCCAGATTTGGCTGCAACCTCAGCTTCCAGTCTTTTCCATGTCATTTGACGCCTGTCTTCAAGGTCTTTGGCATTTGCTTCCTTCTCTAAAAACTGGTGTTGACACTCTTGGAAGAGATCGTTATCCATCTCAAGGAACATCTTACGAACATTGAGAGTGAGGCCATGGACTGCCTGGTTCCAATGTCCCTGGATGTTCCTCTCCAGGGCTTCGAAGATAATGGGGAAAATCACGCTTCGGTTTTGGGCTATCAAGCTCACAATGTGGTCATTGTTCCAAAGGAAGAGAGCACGTTCTGCAACCTGAGGTGAAAGAATGTTAGAGAGAGACAGAAAATATGCAATTGTTAAATGGAAGAGAATTAGAATTAGATGAGAATGGGGTTGGGATTGTGGTGGTAGCACCACTTGTGCCCCAGCTAAGGTCTAGGCTTCCATTCTCACCTACGCATTCAAAAACTACAAACGATTTCAAAAATGGGTAGGGGCTCGTCATTCCCATTGAATTACCCAAAAAAAAAGAGAATTAGGATTAGATGCTACGAAGTAGACTGGCTCAAAGCAAAAACTGAAGTCGGCTTGGCTGGAAGGTGATCGTAACTCTAAAAGCTCAACCAAGAAATGACTAGAGCCCAAGAAAGTAGGTTTTTTGGGGCTAAGGAACCCTTCAATATTAATGGGAATGGAAGGTGGATTTTGTAAGAATATCTAAAGATAACACAAAATTCAATGACTTATATAGCAGTCATTTTAAATTGCAATGTCCTACATGTTGCCTCCGGTCACATGAATTTTCCTCATCATTGAGCCTATGTCCTCGAATAACCTTAGGAGCTTTATAGAGGGAGCTGTTACCAAGCTCAGTTAATGAATGTTTTGCAATGACACGAGCAATCACCAATAAAAAAGTCTGATGCTGCATGATTGTCCTGACTCATAATTGTCAGCTTTGCGGATAAGCATTAAAATTAAGATACACCATATTCAAAATTCCATGTCAGGTCAAAATATAAGTGTAGAAAACCACAAAAAGGGCAGCCTAAACAAACCAATTCTACTGAATATACAGTTGCAGCAACATTATACTTGGAGGCATTCCCATTTCCAAAACTAAGAGTCTTTAAGTCACAATTGAAAACTATCTACAGTTCCCGTTCCCACAGAGGTTCTTCATGAATTTGTTCTTACTAAGGCTTCTCATATGTTCCAATGTCAGTTTACCTCCTTCCCAATCTAAATACAACGATAGATCTTACAATATTTCTAGGTGCATGAAGTAACAAAACTTAGAGAAACTTCCCCATACACGTCCTGATATTAAAGAAAACTCCATATAGGTTCCACTGTACAAGGCAACAAAATTTCTCATCACCAGATTCCATGCAAAGCCAACATAAAGAACAAAAACTAGCTTTTGTTGTCTAAAAAATACTGCTTCAATCATGGTACTTAGCAAACTGTTACAAATAAATCATCTTATTTGGCTGTTGAACAACAAATCATGGATAATGATACAGCATATTATCAACAAACCAGACCTCCTTAATAGATCTTAACAAATATTCAGCACTTCACCAAAATATGAAAATCTAATTGCATTTTGAAGGGGGGTAACATAAACTTGAAAAGGATCTTCATTTTTTTACATAAAAAAGAGCATTATCATCAAATTACGCCTCCTTAACTTAACAACATATCTTTAGCACTTCACAAAAATACGCATATCTAATTCATTCTAAAAGGGGGTTGTGTAAAATTGACTAGATACATTTTTTTATGATAGGAGTCCTATTACAATTGAATTGACCTCATCTAGCTTTCCATCTCTCATCCATCTCAGTTCTTCATAACCACAGAATCCAGAATTATCGCAGATCAAGAGCAGTAACATGACCATTTGAATTTTCAATAGGAATTCTCAAGAAATCACCCAGCAAATCACCACGCTCAGAATTGACACCCCTCGACCTTAAAGAGATGCATAATCTTTAGCTTTCATCAGATAATTTGGTGGATTTGACCATTCGTGGTCTGAGCTTCATGGGGTCCGATAATCACGAAGAACCAATCATGTCAAGAATTAACATGTTTGGTTTATTGTAACAACTGCGAGAGCTCGTGTTTAGAAAAGATTCAAAGAGGTCTGAACCATCGGTCAACCATTCATGACCAATGTTCAAGAAGGTGGATGTGGCAGCCTAGGCGGGCGCCCAGACACAAAGGCAGCCTGCAATGGGGGAAGGGGCAGATCCTTATTGTATATAGAATTGGAATTTTTTTTGCTTAATAACCAATTGTTAAACTAACTCATAAAAAAAAATTTATGGGAATAAAAATTATGATTTATGAATCACATAAGTAAATTCATGCATAAAATTAGAAAAAAAATATTCATTCGGTTTGGGGCAATGGACTTTTTCCATTGAATTGCTTTCCCAAAGACCCAAACTAAATATCGAAACGAGAAAATAATCCAAATAGTTTTTTTTTTGGTGAATAATAATCCAAATAGTTGTTAACAAATATATTACATAAAATTTCAAAACGAAAAATACAAAAAGCAAAGAATAATATCATAAAACGTTGTGAACAAAAAAAATATACAACCCAATATCCTTGAAATGGAACCAATATTGGCCCAAACCAGAAAGTTTTGGTTCTTAAATCTCCTCTTTTAGAACCACTATAAGCCTCAAAAAGATCGGGTATGAATATCCTTTAATTTCACGAGAATTCGAGGAGGTTTGAAAAAAATTTGATTTCTCTACAAATCTTCAAATATTGTTTTTTTCAAGATTTTTCTCACTCAAAACCTCACTAAAAACGTTTTTTGGGGAGGGGGGGGGAAGAATGGCCCCCAAAACCCTTTTCCCCCTTTTTTAAGGGGGGAAATGACGAAATTACCCAATGGCTGAGGGGCATTTTCTGCCCTCAGTCTCGACTATTCGAGGCGGCGCCTAGGCGCCCGCCTTTTAGACCACCTAGGCAGGCGCCTCGGGTGCCTAGGTGGGTGCCTTGATGCACCCGCATGGAGCATACTGCCTAGGCGGCAAGGTGGCCGAACTTTCTTTCATTGTTTGTGACTATATACTAGAGGAAGGGGGGTGGAAGGAGACAGACCGCAGGGTTGCCACACCCACAGTATAGTTGACGTTGTAGGGCCTGAAGATGCTTGGGAGGTTTCTAGGTCCTGAAATTAGGTATGCAGTAATCTAGGGGAAAGGAAGAAAAAAATTAACGTATTTAAAAAGGACTGTAAAATGAGTAATATCAGGTAATGATCCTGTAGATATCATGCCTTTATTGAGTTTGTATGCAAGCAGCTCCAGGCTTTGGATCCTATCCCTTCTCAAAATAGTTCATGGATTAAACAAACGTTAACATTCTCAAAAAAAAAAAAAAAAGAAAAGATAGTTCATGGATTAAACTGTCATGTTTAGTTAGCTTGTTGAATCCCAAGGTATGTCTCCAAAAGGGAGAGTATCCCAAGGCTAGAAGTGCCCTGCCTACATTCTTGTTGTCGGCATGGTTCTAAGGATCATTCCCCCGTAATGTTCAATGCAACATCGATGATTTATTTTTTGAGAAACATCAATGATTTATCAACTTATCTCTATAATTTTTGTCTAGATATCAAGTATCCATATAATATATAGTCAGTCTCAATCACCATTTACGCATAATATGATATAAGTCATTTGAGTTGTCATACAATCATTTTCAGATTTTTATTATTTATCTTTTTTTTTCAATATCGATTTTCTAATTTATAAAAAAACTTTGGGAAATTATCACAAATATACCTTAATTTTTGGTTTATTAGAAAAAACACTCCATACTCACTTCCATACCCTTTTTTTTTTTTCATTTTTTGTATTTTTTTTTACCAAAATAGCCTTCATGGTAGTCGTATCACCAGAAGGCGTCACAGTACTTAAAATACCGTGATGACCATGAGAGGTATCCTGGTATTTTAAGTATCATGATGCTCTTTTTTTGTCTAGACCTTTTTTTTTAGGATTTTCATGGCTACACTGTGCAGTTTAGGGCACTTCTGAATGCCACCTTGAGCCATGATTTGGATGCATTTTGATGATTAGCTTGGTTGCAAAGAAATAAAAACAAATTTTTTTAAGTTTTGGCATGATCTTCCATTTGCAGAAATGAACTTAAAGGTCTTACCCCAAACCATGAACTTAGAGGTCTTACCCTCTTCTTTTTTTCATGAATCCCAAACCATGAACTTGGAGGTTTTACCCTCTTCTTTTTTTCATTCAAGAAATGAAGCTCAATATTCTCTCTCTCTCTCTCTCTCTCTCTCTCTCTCCTACTC